CTTTCCAACCCTAACTATTCTATGTTTCTATAATCTCCATTAGGACCAAAAAAGTGGTGATAGGAGACCAAAGAGGAAGTGTAACTGTCCTTTCCAGAACACAGAGAAGGGAATTTATATGGTGGAAAGCCACGAATGGTTTGTGAGTCCACCTGCTAGTACCATTAGTTCGTGTTAAGTAAACAGGTTAATGCTAGAAGACAGTTTGCACAAGTCCTGTTTCAAAGACTGGCATATTTATGGGGTTTAAATCCATACTAAATGAAAGGGATGCTCCTAAACATATTGATTGCCTTGTTCTTCAGTTCCTAAAAGATGCAGCACTCGCTGATTATTCTTTAAAAAGGCCAGTTTGTTGGTTAAGATTTGTTTTTAGTGTCAAAAATTTGTTTCTCTCATATACATGTGTTATGGAAGATTGTCTTTAAAAAGACAGTGGCATGCTCGTACAATACTTGTTTCTTGTTCTTGGGAACATCTTAGACTGTTGAGATCGTGAAGAAGCTGATTTAGGTTTAGCTGTGTCAGATGTTGCAGATGCTTACTCTGGCAAATACAGATCACTTTGGAGCAGACTGTTACAATGCTTCTCTCTCATTGCTGTGGTGAGGCAATGGCAGGGAGGCAGGTTTACTTAAACTTTATTGGGAAGCTCAGGCTTGTTAATGCATCTTCCACTTGGCTCTGCTTTCCTCAGGTTTTGTTCTTCTTGAAGGAGCCTGATGACCTTTCTTCCTGCTTGGGTGATCCTGAGAGTCTGGGTTTGTTTTCCGAGCACTACTGCTGGGGCAGGGAGAGGGGGAGTGATGCCAGCCCAACCCTGTAGACATCTGCTTGTTTGGGGCATGGGGAATGGGAGAAGAAAAAATTGTGTATTCATAGGTGGCAATGACTGAAGGATGGGAGGTAACTGCAGTGTTGGCTGGCTGGTAGGTTTCCTTTCAGGTATAGAGGAAACCGGGATCCTGATCTAGGACATGAGCTGACAGGGACTGCAATAATTTGTCAGTCAGAATAAGAAGTGATTTGTACAGTGAAATAGATGTGGTAGATGCAATAGAACAGTTCAAGGCAACTCTGAGCTTATGAGTTTTAAATGCATGCTGCTTATCTCCTAACCTCAGTACTTCACTGAGTAGACTCAGATTTGTCAAACCCTTCCCTCAAAGGCAGGAAAGAGTTAACCAGTCAGGCAACTTATAACGGCTGTAATTTAAACTAGTGAATATACTTATTTTATAGTTAGGGAAATTGAAGCACAGTGGGATCAAGTGACCTACTAACATCTCCTAGTCAAGAAACAGCAGGGCAAGTCCTTGAATTTGAGTGTTCTGAGGTCCCTCTCCTCTAGTTCTTTTATTAGGTCATGTTGCTTCCCAGGATAACAACATGTTTGCGCAGTTTGGAAATGCAAGCTGTTTCTTTGCAGAAATATTACTGCAGAATGTTACAAAACTGGAGAAACACCGAGTCTGAAAACAGCTTTAATTCTTGTTTTTAAAACGTAGCAAATGAGATTTAAAAATATGAAAGGCTGCCAGTCTGCTGCTCTAGTTTAAGTATCTGGGTTGTCATTAGGAAAATATTAGAAATGAGCTGGTGATTTCCAGCACTGTTCCTCTGATAGGACAGCCTTGCTGAAAAGGAGGTCTTGGTCCCCAAGATCCTGAGAGAGGAATTAAAATGACGTTTCTGCATTTCCTGTCATTAATTATCTCAAAAAGACCTTGAAATGTGCTTCTGAAGTCTGTCAGCCCGGCACATATGGAATGAAATTTTTCTCCAAAGAGATGAGGTGGACTTGTTTGCCTCTGAGTATCTTCTGAGTTGTTGGTTGAAGTTTTACCGGTGAGGCTATTTTTCAAGTTGCCTTTCAAGCTCAGCAGCCGAAGTCTCATTCCTTTCTCATCCCAGAAGCGTTGCTGTGTTTTTTGAACCTAGTCCCAAGAACTATCTTTCTATTTGCCTTTCCGTTTTTCTGCTCCATTTCCACTCCTTGTCCCCAAGTTAAGGTGTTAAATTGTTCTTCAGTCAGAGCTAAATAATATGCCACTCGATGCTTTAATAGGCAGGAAGACGTGCTGACAGATCTTCATTTCAGGAGAGGCACTGTTCAGATGTCCTGTTGTTCTGCAATGCTTTGCTATTAAATTTGATGATGGAATATCTAGACAAAGCACCAGCTGACACTGCAGCCATTTTGAGTTGCACATGCTGGAAACCAACCAAATTGGGAAGTGTTACTTTTTTCACAGTTGTGTTTAAAAAGGTAAAAAAACCCTCCACAGCCCTTAACATTCTGAGGTCAGAACATTAGTATTGGTGTTATGTGATGGATAGCCCACTTCTGGGGGTGGAATTACTGTTTTAGCTTTGATTGTAGGATACCAGTGTATCTGCCTGCTATGTACAGCAGGTATTCCTTGTGCTCAGTGGATTTGTAACTTGGAGGGTAGCAAGCAAGTCCCAAGCACTGCAAAGCTGGAACCTCCTCCTTGCTGCAGAAACCAGATGACTTCCTGCCTTGACTGGCAGGAGGGCTTGTGTGCAGCAGGAAAGTTTGTACTCAGTACCTTTAAGTAAGGACAAATAGAATGGGAGTTTTCATTGATAGTTTCTTTGTTCCAACCCAGTGCAAGCTCCCTGCAGTGTGGATGCTGCCATGGCACAGTAGTTCAGCTCTTACTCCAGTGAGTGTTATCATCTGGGCTCAACACTGGTGGTAGACCTCCTGTTGCCCAGCTGGCAGCAGGACAAGAGCCTTGTGCTTGAAGTATAACGAACATTAGTGGTCAAATACATGCAGCAGAGTGGACAGGCTCCAAACTGATAAGCCTAATAAGAAGGTTAATAGCTTGTTCATCACCTTACGTGGGATGGTACATTTGAGGCCCTACTTTAAATGAGCACAGGGAATATTCATGTGAGAAATTGTTCAGTTGGACTGGGTAGATAATAACAATAATATGTTCAAACTATTTTTCCTTTTGAACAATTTTTATTATTATTTTTCTCCTCTTACTCCCTTGCCTACTCTGCTAATCAAATATATGAATTAGAGTATCTCCTGATTAAGTATAACGTAGGCATTGTGGTTCCCGACCCAGGCTGAAGTTTCTGTGGTATGCCACACAATCTTTTGAGAGCAGCAGTCCTCAAACTGGCAATCGTCAAATGTATGGAACAAGTTTTATTAAAGCATTTAATTTCTTTAAGCTATTCCTCTCTTAATCCAGGAAAGACAGGTTAAAAAAGTCTTCTGTAATGTATTTTGGTACTGTGTCAATCAACCTTTTATTGAGTTTTTTTTTAAATTATATTTAAAGTTAGTAGCCAAATAATTGCAGATTATCTTAGTATTTTCCTGCTTTTCTGACAGAGCAGTAAAGGTCACTAACACTTAAGGGTCTTAGTCCTAAGCACAACACATTTTAGTTGTGGGGAGCTGTTTGTTCCATTCCTGGTTTTGTTCAGTGCTGGAGTTGAGTTTGGAGCCTGCACTCCACACTCCTTACAGCTCCACTTTTACTAAAGATTTGCTGAGAAAAGAGGACATGTCTCTCTGCTTAATATAACAGTCATTGTATATAGCGTCCTGGCACGTGTATAATTGTCTGTAGCTTTCTAATGATAAAGGCGGTTTCATGTGAGAAAGATCTGTTATCAATCTTGGTCCCGACTTGCATTTTATTTCATTAAAGAAATGGCTTATCACAGATGAAACTCCGGATCAATGGTCCTGGCACTCTCTCTCTCTCTTTCTTTTTTTTTTTTTTTTTTAAATCGCTTCCATTTTGGTGCAGTGCAGTGCTTTTGGTTTAACTGGCTGAATTGATATTCTGAGCAGCAAGTAAGGCAGGATGACAGAGCACCAGCACAGCTACTCCCATCAGTGCTCCAGGAGGGACGCTCTGTGCAACTGCCCACCCTGCCCGAGACAGAGCGCAGTCACGAACCACTGCTGTCCTGGGCTGCCACAGGAAAGGTTCCAACTTTGATGTGCACTGCTTTATACCTACTTCAAGAAAAAACCTGATGTTTTTCTGTGTTTAGTCACTGCTGGGATTGAACGGTTAGAGGTACAGAATCTGAAGTTGCAGTTTGAACACGGTGCATGTACTGATCCCGATTAACTGTGAAAAAAAACTCAACTCTCACACAGAAAATGTGATGCTTTTTAAAGGACTGATGTCTCTGTCTTATTTTTAATGCTTGGATTTATTTTTTTTTCTTTCCCATGGCATTCCATTAAAAAAGTCACATTTCAGAATCCTGCATAGACTAATAAACCAAAATAACAGGTAGATTTCTTTAAAGACGTATTACAGACTAGATGGTGAGAAGCTCTAAATAAAACACACTGATTCCTCAGAGCGTTAGGCTGTCATTATCATGAGGCAGAGTGCTGTATTTTGTATGTTTAAAAAGGAAGGGAAAGGACAGAGAGCTCCTCTGGCAGCACATATGGGATTACAGTATATGCTGATGGGACCAGAGCAGATTAAACAGGAGGATGTTTTGTGTGCTTCTCCTGCGTGGGTTTTGGATTGTGGAAGGCATGACAGAGACACAGGTACCACAAGCCCATCACAGCCCTGCAAGCAGGTTTTGGTATTTTCATAGAATCAGCATTGTTCTTGTATAAACAGGGAGATCAGGCTGCCTCTTAGCAAAGGAGGCTGTGAAGGGATTGCAGGAGAGCCGTGTGGGGTGGCTGCTGTCCGGGGTCTCAGTAGGGAACAAAGCTGGGGGAGTGCTGGGCTGCGCGTAGTGGGTTTGCTGCTTCCCTCCGTCCCCTTGCCCCTTCCGTACACAGCGTTTCCTCCCCCCTCCCCTGCCCCCCCCCCCCCCCTTCTCAAATGATGGCGATAAGACTTGACAGCCCTTGTCCTTGAAGGTTTCTCCCGTTTCTGAGTAAGTGGCATATTCCTGGTAGCTTGCCATCTTCCGTTTTTGTCATTATCCCAAGGGAAGTATTAAAATCACAAACAACAACATGGTGGTTCAGTCCATTTTCCTTGCAGAGAAACATTTCCTTTCCCTGCCTATGTCTGCCGTTCGGTTCCCCGCTCTGGCAGCCGCGCAGTGCGGGCAGTAGGCACCCTCCCGCGCGATGGGATGAGACGCGATGGGATGCGGGGCGCGCCGTGGCCCGGCGGAGCCCTGTGGCTCCCTCCCCACCTGCCCGCCGGGTGGTACAGTCTGCAGAGGGACTCCTGTAATGTACCGCAGCTCGCCCAGCCCGCGCAGATGCCGAACCGCGATTACTCCGCTGTGTAATTGAAATCCGTTCGGATTTGTGATGATATCTTAGCCAAGTAAGTAGCGACATCCACAGCATGAGAATAATAATGATGATGATAATAATAATAAAAATAATCTTTCCCCTTTCCGTTCTGAGCTTGTTTATTTGGCGATTTGCTTCTCGTGGAGGCGCAGGCTGATGAGAAAATGGTGTGGAGACTGGGTCTGAGTGGTGCCTTAGGTTTGGTTCGTGCCCTGTGAATCTCTGGAAAGGTAATGCTGCGACTTCTGTAGATTATTCTTTAAGGTCAAACGAGAACTGCATTGCTAAAAGGCGCTCTTGTGTCAGAAGTCATTCACTGAGCTTTTGTAGGTTGAGAATTCTGTATGATCTTCTTGTTGTTTAAGCATATGGGCTTGATTTTGATTAAATCTGTTCTTTAGTGAGGAGGAAAGCACGTGGATGCGATTTTGCTTTTATCATTGCTGGTAAGGGTCAGATGTGCCTTTTTCTTTCAGAAGTGAAGGTGCAGATAAGACACTAAAATGGGAGCAGTACGGCTTGACTTTTTTTTCCCCTTAACTTTGACTAATGGTCTCTTGTGATAGGAAAAGACATTTCTTGTTAGGAGATATGTAATCCTCAGCTGGGTGTATTTATAGAGCTGCTTACAGTTTTCCAGTATGTATGTTTGAAAGTAGAGGGCACACAGATTAAAAAAACCCCAATGTTGCCTTTCTGTTGCAGTGGATTAGAAAATGCAGTTGAAGAAACTGGGGATTTTATGTAATTTCTTTAAGCATGCATGATGTATCCTGCGGTAAGGTGGGGAACGGCTCTTGGTGGTGTATGGTGCAATAATTAAAAATTCTGACAGCGCTTTACATGTCATTATTATTTATTTATTAATTTTAAAAAGAAGAATCTGCTCCCAATCCCTGGCTACTGCATGAGGAAGCTTTTGGCCGTTGATGAAACATAGAACGCTGTAACAGAAAGCATAAGATGACAGGAGTCATTTCCTCTTATGTAAAGGGAGATGCTGGCGCCTGATCCCTGCCTGCGGCGCTGGCAGCTGGCTGCCCAGTGCTCCTGGTGCCGGGCGAGCTTTGCCCCATCCCGGATCCACCGCGGTCCTGCCCGCCTGGGGCAGGTGCTCGGCGCGGCGCGTCCTTGCTGAGGGCTGGGGTACATCCCGGAGCACTTCCGCAGCGGAAGCAGATGCTTAGCCCCGTGCTACCCACATCTTCTGGAAGGTAAGGATGGAAGTTGCTGAAAGGGAATGTGGATTCGTTCATGATAAACCTGCGCGTCCTCCCATTCCCATGCAGCCAAAGAGCTGCACGCTTTTTAGGACTTCTGAGCATCTGCCTCCTGATTCCATTCTGTTAGGGACTCTGTTAAAGGATTGCAGAGCTGTTACACAAATTAGGATGTTTGAAAGATGGCTGGCATGCTTCAGATGGAAAAAATGCACTTTTATTGCTGGCATTTGTGGTTAATATGAGATATATACAGTATGAAATTGATAATGGGGGCTTTTGTTAGTCTTTCCTTAGTAAAAGGAGATTACAGATCTACTTCATAGTCCATGTTGGGTATATTATATGTTGAGATGCATTCTTGTTAGCATTTAATTTGTGAGAGGTCGTCCATATGCATGACTAGCTCTTGTACCTTGCTCCGAAACCACTGTTTGGCTCAGGTATCCAGCAGGTCTTTGATCACTTACAGCTTTCACTTTGTTTACCTTTCTCTCATTTTGATCAAAATTGCTACCTGTGAAGGAGTGTTTTATATTTTCCCTGTAGTGCTGGTAAAATGAACAAGTTTCTGAATAAGGCAGTAAAATAAGACTAGGAGATAACTTGTGCGTAATAATGCTGCAGGAATATTTTTATCCTTTCTGTGTGTGTGTATGCCCCCCTTTTTATCCTTTTCCTTTATCTTCATTTCTGTGGAGATTGGCCCACATCAGTGATAAATGTATTTTCAGAGAAAAGATGGTGTTTTTTTTTTCTGTTGCAAATGCTCTTTCTCATTCTTTCTGCATATATAAAAAGGTTTCATGCATGTATGTTCAAAGAGCTTGCTAAAGTTGCATGCTTCTCAGTGGGATTGCAGGTTACAGAAGACATGGTGCTGATGACCCAGGTATCACGCTGTGCTTTTAAGAGCTTCCATAAAGTGACTTTTCTGAGTGCTGTTTTCTTTTAAATTTCATATTGTGTATCAAGGAAACTGTTTTCAAGGATGATTTTTTCCCCCTTCCGCCTTTCCCATCATTTATAATACAGTGCTGTTGGATTTGGGATGCAATCATTTTTTCTTAATCCTACTTAAAAAAAAGGTTCTAGTCTGAATACTGACAATAGGCTCATACATTCTGCTGGTGTAAGAACGTGACAAGTGTTTTCACTTTTTCATGCTCATCCTGCAGTTCACATTGTCAGATGTCAGTGGCGTATGTAGTAATCCCTTGTTACGTTTTAAAATACATATAGATGTCGTGACCTTGTGACTATATCTCATTCTCCCTGAAACCTTAATCTACTGCAGTAGGGCTCCAGCAGCCCATAGTTCTGTAAATTGCCCCCTCTCCCCACTTCCCTTTTAAGAGATGTAAATACTTTTACAGGTTGGACTTAAAATAATGTTCTGAAGGGAAGAAAGTGGTTTTGTGTTTGATTCACCTGACTGTGGAACCTGCAGAGAACAAGCTTGCCTTTTGCCAGGTTCTTCATCATATTTTCAAGGAGAGACAAAGAAGGGTATTACAACTGACTGAAATTTTGTTTGCTTTCAGCCATCAGCCAGAAAGGAATTGTGCCTTTCTGGCTGATGGCTGAAAGCAAACAAAAATTAATTACATCCCTATTATACCTTACCAGATCAGCTGCAACCCCCCCTGCCCCCCCCCCCCCCCCCCCCCCCCCAAGATTTAAAATGACACATTTCTGAATAATTTTAATACGTCAGTTGTAAAAGAGGTTTAAAGAAAAAAAAAAGCAAAGGATGATTATGATTGAACCATCTGCTCCTAGAGAGGTGTTTTTGTTTAATTCGTCTCCAAAAACGTGTTGGTGAAGGCAGGCTCTCTTGTGCTTTCATGAAGATTCCTTTCCTGTGAGGCAGGAAGGGAGCAGTGAATGCCCTGTGGATGGAGGCTCCCTCTCTGCATGGCTCAGCTGCAAATCCAGCACCAGGAATCTGTGACCGGGATAGTTCTGTGCCTCTGCAGCACCTGCAGTCCAGGCGCTGGGTTTGCGATGAGGAAACCTGGGCTCGGAGTTAGCTTGCCAGAGCTTTATGATGCACAGTAGGGAGGCTCAGCACCCTGAGACTATGAATTTATCCTTGGGTAACACCTGTGTGTCCATCACGCTCAGAGATAATATAGCCTTACTGGAACGGTTGCATAATATAACAATATTTTTGCCTAGATAGGTTATGGTTTGTAAGTACACATGAATAAAGGATATGTAAGATTATACAGGCTGTATAGATATATAGGCTTTAACTTCATACATAAAGCAATGAAGATGATCAATAACATTTCATTTTAATCTTTAAAGTTTGTCCTGTCGTACAAAGCACAAGCATATCGTACAATATTAAGAGCTGTGGATTTTTTTGTTTAAAGTTTTGCTGGGTTTGCGCATGTCTGTGGGAAAAAGCATATTTTTAATGTTGTTCTTGATATATTATCTTGTTTTACATATTACACCTGGAGATTTGCAGTTGAAGAAAAAAGAGTCAATTTATAACGGAAGGGTTGGGAATGAAGCATATTTTAAAATAGCCCAGTAACAGGAAAATATTTCTAAGAGGCTGGCATTGCTGTAAAACGCAGGACATGTTCCTTCGTAACACTGCAGATCAGTGAAATATGAAGACTCAGAAGTGTGGGATGCCTGCTTGAATATCAGACTTTGCAGAGTTGAGAAATGGTAACCAAGTTACAAATTACTTCCCTTCTACCACATCCTGCACGAACAAGTTCATCCTGCTCATAATGTGTTTTGCCTTGGTTCTGAAGTAGCCATTGTACAGTTAGAGCATACAAGGATTATGCATCGTTCTATCAGACATTTTAGAAGCAATTCATGTGGAAACCTAGAAGAGGACCAGCAGTAATAACTGTGATTTATTTGAAAGAGTTTGTGCATTTTTAACCTATTGTCGCATTTCCACATGTGGTAAAGGCAAAATAAGGGTAGAAGCTAGCTGATTTCAGTCGTGGCATCACAGAAGAGTTGCGACTGGGAGGTGCCTCGAGATCATCCAGTCCAAGCCCTCCTTCCCAGAGAGCAGGTTTCTCAGAGCTGTGTCCAGTTGGGTTTTGTGTATCCAGAAGGGTGGAGACTCCACAACCTCTCTGGGCATCCTGTGCCAGTGTCTGACCACCCTCACAGTTTTCTCATCTTTAAATGCAATTTCCCATGTTTCAATTTGCTCTCACTGCCTTTTTGCCTTTCACCAGGCACCGCTGAGAAGGGCCTGTTTCCATCTTCTTTAGTCCTTCACATCAGGTGTTTATGTGTATTGATACCCCCTGAGACTTCTCCAGGCTGAACAGTCCCAGCCTTCACCATCTCCCTTTTGTATGTCAGGTACTTCAGTCCTTTTATCATCTTTGGCCCCTTCATTGTTCTGGTTCTAGGGAGTCCATGTCTCTTTTGTACTGGGAGCCCAGCACCAGACACTGCACTCCAGAGGTCTCGGCAGTGTTGAGTGGAGAGAGAGGAAGGCTCACCTCCCTCGGCATGCTGGCAGTGCTCCGTCTAATGCAGCCTTTGCAGTGAGGATGTGCTGCTGGCTCACCTTGGGTCCACCAGGAACCCCAGGGCCTTTTCTGCAGAGCTGATCTCCAGCCGCCTGGCCCCAGCCTATCCTGCCTGGGGTTATTCCTCCCCAGGGGCGCTTCCCTTTGCTGGACATCCTGAGGTTTCTGTTGGCCTGGATATCTTAACAGAGAAGAGTGTGCAAGTTGCAATATTGAAGTCTAATATATTGTATCAGCATCCTAGGTGCAGTTTGGTATGGATATAAACTTAATGAGGATGAAAAAGG